TCTCTACTAAAAATACAAAATTAGCCGGGTGTGGTGGTGCACGCCAGTAATCCCAGCTACTTGGGAGGCTGAGGCAGGAAAATTGCTTGAACCCAGGAGGTGGAGGTTGCGGTGAGCCGAGATCGTGCCATTAGCACTCCAGCCTGGGCAACAAGAGCGAAACTCCGTCTCGAAAACAAAAAAACAAAAGCAAAAAAAAAAAGCAAAAAAAGAAAGTGACAGATGCCGTGGAAAAAGGAGAAAGTTGAACAGAGGAAGGGAGATTGGGAGTGCTGGGAGGTGGAACTATAATTTTAAATATGGTGGTCACTGTAGGTCTTTTGGAGAAGATAACAATTAAGCAAAGACTTGAAGGAGAAGGATACGCTGTCTGGGGAAAGTGTTCCGGACAGAGTAAACAGCAAGGTCAAAGACCCTGAGGCAGGAAAACTAAAGAAAGAAGGAGAACAGTAGGAAATGAAGATATAAAAGTAACAGAGTTTAGGGTCTTTGTATTAGGTATCCACTGCTGTGTAACAAATTGCCCTAAAATTTGGCTATTGACAATAATACACAGGAATTCAAGAGTGGTTTGGCTTGGGGGTTCTGGCTCTGGGTCCCAAGAGGCTGCAGTTTCTGAAGGCTGTGCCTGAAGATTCTTCTTCCAAGGCAGCTCAGTCACGTGGTTGGCAAATTGGTGCTGGTTGTTGATGGGGGAGGAAGGGATGAGGAGCGGGAAGGACTTTGTTTCTATTTGTGTGGGTCTCTACCTGCTGTGTTTTTTTTTTGAGACGGAGTTTTGCTCTTTTTGCCCAGGCTGGAGTACAATGGCGTGATCTCGGCTCACTGCAACCTCCGCCTCCTGGGTTCAAGTGATTCTCCTGCCTCAGCCTCCCGAGTAGCTGGGATTACAGGCGTGCGCCACCATGCCTGGCTAATTTTGTATTTTCAGTAGAGACGGGGTTTCTCCATGTTGGTCAGGCTGGTCTTGAACTCCTGACCTCAGGTGATCCACCCGCCTCGGCCTCCTAAAGTGTTGGGATTAGAGGCGTGAGCCACCATGCCCAGCCTACCTGCTGTTTTTTAAAAAAGGCTAGTGAAGTAAAGCAGTGAGAATAGAGAAGGAAGAAAGAAATCTGTAACTAGTTGTGATCAGTTGGTTGTAA